CTGCTCCCATTTTATTCTTGTCTTTTTTTTCCGTCTCCCTCGTTCGGGCTGCTGCCACCCGCAGTGTCGATCAAACAAACTTGTTGGCCCGGAGAGAGGAGCGGGCGGGGAGGGGGAGGGGGGAGGGGGGTGCACTCGGCAGTGGGACATAAGCCGTTACACACTTTTCAAAAGACACTTTTAAAGCTCACTTGTATAGTCACTCACGTGTAACATTACACACTTGTGCCGCACGCTTGTGAATGAATGCCACACATGGAGTGCCACACACTTGTAATACGCAACGTACTTGTGAAGTACCGCATGCCTGTAAAGCTCCGGACTCTTAAAGTACCACTCACCACACTCTTGTAAAGTGCCTCAGGCCTGTAAAGCTTCGCACACTTAAAGTGTCCCACACTTGTAAAGTACCAAACGCTTGTAAAGTGACCCCACGCTTGTGGCCCACACTGGTAACGAGCCACGCAGTCCGGGCCGCGACCTTTGGCCGTGTCGGTGGACTTCCACGACTGGGGTGTTTAAGGCCCTTGGGGCCGATCCGAACGGCCGCGCGCGCTTTGGCGAGCCCAGACCTTGGAACTTTGGGCTGACCTTTACATGAGCAAACGGTGAACATAACGGCCGTCATCCGTCTTCGTCAGGCCGCTAAACCCAGAGCCCCTTTCTCTTATTATTTACCCTCCCCCTCTCCTCTCCTCTCTCTCTTTCTCCCCCCTTCTCTCTCTCTCTTTCTTTATCCGCCCCTCTGGGCACGCCAAGTCGCACACCCAAGTGAAAGTCGGTGAGGCCTGCAGTGCGTACAACAGTGCGTATCCCCACCCCCCGCTGCCCGGGCGGTCCAGGCCGCGCTACGCCGCGCTACGCGGAGCTACGCCCAAGTTTCCCGCGTCCTCGCCGTCCTCACCGCCACGTGGCCGAAAGTGGTGGCCGCCTGCCTATCCAATACACTAGCAACCACGTGCGGGGAGGGGAGGGAGAGAGGGGGAGAGGGGGGAGGGAGAGGGGGGAGGGAGAGGGAGAGGGGGGAGGGAGAGGGAAGATGAGAGAGAGACGGGGTGAGAGAGAAATTGAAATTGCTTGACATTGGAGAGAGAGAGGGGGGGGGGGCTACATTCAAGCGTTGTGGCGCATTTGCCGGTATTTGAACCAGGGACCAGGGGCCCCCGCGGTGGTGGATTTGACAAGGACGCCGAGGGACGAGTTGTGAAGCGCGGGGCTGGCTGAGTGCCCGAGGACGCGCTGCGGGCCCTGCCCCTGCACTGCAAAGCCCCGCAAAGCGTGCCCAATTTCCTGATGAAAGCAATATTTTGGTGCGAGCTCATATTCGTTTTATACGTCTGTTGTGCTGGCGCTGTCTGGCCTAGCGGGCCGGCCCTGTGGCTGGGCGTCCAGGACGGGGCGTCCAGGGCGGGGCGTCCAGGGCGGGGCGTCCAGGGCGGGGCGTCCAGGGCGGGGCGTCCAGGGCGGGGCGTCCAGGGCGGGGCGTCCAGGGCGGGGCGTCCAGGGCGGGGCGTCCAGGGCGGGGCGTCCAGGGCGGGGCGTCCAGGGCGGGGCGTCCAGGGCGGGGCGTCCAGGGCGGGGCGTCCAGGGCGGGGCGTCCAGGGCGGGGCGTCCAGGGCGGGGCGTCCAGGGCGGGCGTCCAGGGCGGGCGTCCAGGGCGGGGCGTCCAGGGCGGGGCGTCAGGGCGGGGCGTCCAGGGCGGGGCGTCCAGGGCGGGGCGTCCAGGGCGGGGCGTCCAGGGCGGGGCGTCCAGGGCGGGGCGTCCAGGGCGGGGCGTCCAGGGCGGGGCGTCCAGGGCGGGGCGTCCAGGGCGGGGCGTCCAGGGCGGGGCGTCCAGGACGGGGCGTCCAGGGCGGCGCGGCCTCGCGCGCCCTCCAGCCCCCGGGCGTCGGAAACTGGTCGGCTGGGGCGGCATAGCGCGGCCCGATTCCGAACAACGTCGCTCCGTCTCTCTCGGCCACGCGACGCGCCGCGAGTGCGAGAGAGACGGAGCGACGCCGGCGAGCAGAGAGAGGACGCAGCGGCGGCGGCGCGATGCTGAATTGTGGCGGACCAAGGACCAAGGGCCCGGCCGGCCAGGCCGAGGCCAGGCCGAGGCCAGCCCCGCCAGCGCCGCCAGCGAGCATTAGACGGAGTGGAATGAAAACTTATGGCTCTTCGTGCAGTCCGTCTGGAAATATAGTTTATCCCGGTGCAATTTCCAAGTAACACTAACTCCGTGGCCCCGCCGCCGGCGACCTCCCGCCTTCGCAATACGTATCAGTGTAAACGCGAAAAAAAAATAATAAAGATTAAAAATTTTGTTGTTAAGTTAAGTGGCAGGGGTTTGTGGTTGCTTTTGACTGAAGCCCAATGCATTAGGCCCTTTGTCGCGGTGGGCGTGGCGTGGCGTGGCGTGGCGTGGCGTGGCGTGGCGTGGCCCAGTGCGGGGAGCACGCGGCGCAACAAGGTAGCAATAATTACTCGTAGACGCAATTTGGCTGGCGGGGGTGGAGGGGAGGGGGGAGGGGCGAGAGCGGCGAGAGGGGGAAAGGCGTGAACGAGGGGCGGCAAAGAGGTGATAAGGGAATGATAGATCGAGTGGAGAGGGCAGCAAAGTGCTGCCGCCTCGGCCTACACTGACAAAAAAAAAGTAAAAAAAAAAAAGAATCGCGCTGCCTCGCCTGAAATGACACCCGGGGACGAATTATTTTCGACACGATAATTATTTTCCGAAGCGAAGCGACAACGGGGGAAGATTTATAGTGGGCTGAATAATATAACGGCCATACATTTCACCAGTCAATAATAATTTTCGGAACTGATTTCTCCTAAGAGCTTGCTGTTAAAGCGGGATGTGTTTGTGTGTGTGTGTGTGTGGAAGGGGAGAGAGTCATATGAATTTTCCATTTCCTGAAGACTTACAACTGCGTGAGTCAAAATGTGTGCGAAGGGGCTGGCGGTGGCGGGGCGGAGCGGGGCGGAGGCGCGCCTCGTGAAGTGGCCGACCCAAGTAACCGGATCGTGTGTGGAGCTTTCTCAATAAGTGCTCTCAAGTGCGGCCCATCGCCACGTCTTTGTTGTGGTGTCTTTCATCTCGTCGCGGCCTCCCGGTGCCCTGGTGTGCGTGCGGGCCGTGCCGGTCCGGACCAGCCCGGAGGGCGTGCCGACGCAGGGAGTACCTGCAGCCTCCACGCGGGGCGGGGCGGGGCGGGGCGGGGTGGGGTGGGGTGGGGGCGATCCACGCGCGCGCCCGAACAAGGACGAAGAGAGATGAGAAAAGTCGACCTTGACGTTGCGGCCAAGCGAAATAGTGTCGCCGACACCAATATACGCATGGACGGGTCCGTAGCCGCAGCGCGGGGCGGGGCGGGGCGGGGCGAAGACGGTCCGCGGCACTGTCGCCATAGCCTCGCCAGGACAGGAGCAAGCAAGTCATGGTTTATGCATGGCCCCGCGGGGTGAATATGCCGATGGGTTGTGCAGCCAGGGCTAGCCAGGGCGGCTGCCCTCGGCAATAAGACGAACAAGGGCACCGAGCAGGCCGGCCGAGGCTGCCTCCAGGCCGGGCCGAGACCTGCAGACTGATTCCGCGAGAGTCGTCTTCGTCGCTCAGTCCCCCTCGCACTCCTGTGGCCTCCCGTGTGGGTGCGAGAGAGATCGACGAAAACAACTCTCGGAATCGGTCGGCTGCTGCAGCGTCTTCACGGCCTTCATCCCGCGGCTCCGGCTCCGCTTCCGAGGCTTGTTTTTGTTTGGCGGTACTTCCGGACCGAAATTAAACCGCTTCCGCCGGCCGGTTTCCGGTCTTCATCATTCTGTTTGTCCATCTTGCGGCGGGGCCGGCAAGGCCGTGGGGTGGTGAGGGCGGAGGGGGTGCATTCTATTTAGTGGGCCCCGCACTGCGGGCCCCCTGCCCTCCGCGGACCGCCCCCCTCCTCCCGGTCTAGCCGTCGATAAAGTCAAACTCGATGGTGAAAGCTACTCCAACTTCATCGTGACCCTTAAGCCCTTCCAAGTCGGCTTAGGGCCGCCGCGGTAAATCTCCCACATTGACGGGTACGTCGCGGCGGGCTCGTCGCAGCAGTGGACGGATGGTCACTCTCTGTCTCTCTCGCACTCGTGGTGCGCGTCGTATGCGTGCGAGAGAGACAGAGCGACGAAAGGACCGTGTTCGAGAGCGGCCCGCAGCGTGCCGGCAGACCGCTGCTCGGTTGGCCTGCACGGCCTGCACGGCCTGCACGGCCTGCACGGGGCACGCGTGGTGCGGTCGCCACGCGTGGGCCACGCCGGAAGGCCGGAACTACAATTGGTAATGGGACCGCCTCTAAGCCGCCCCGCCCCGCCCCACCCTGCCACGACCCCGGCCGGGGCCCACTTTTGGCCGGTAATGATGGCAGGCCGAGACCCGATGGGGCGGGGCGGGGCGGGGTTGTCCGCGGTCAGCGATCCATATCTCTGGAACGAGTCATCCAGCGCGCCCAGCACGACACACACGCCGCGCTCGGAACGGCCCGCGGGGACGGACGGACGGACGGGACGGACGCGCCCCGGTCCGGTCGAACCGCAGTGGCGCGTCCGAAAAACAACGACACCAAAAACGACGCATCAAAAACAGCGATCTATTTTTAGGACTATCATTTGCCCGCATTACAGCGTGTACTTTTCCTCGTGGGCCATCAACCTTGCATCAACCGGCGATCACGGCAGCCTTGCCGCCGTCCGGAGTGATCGCCGGTTGATCGCGGTTGATGGAATCGACGCGACGCGCTCAAAGGGCCGGGCAGCGTGTCGCAGTGACGCCAGGGACGCCATCAGGCTCTCGGAATCTGTGCGCCTGCCACCACTGGCTGATTGCGCCGCGATTTCCTCTTTGCCACCGGCAGCTCTGCTGTAGAGGCGGCAGCCGGCTGCCCTGCCGCTCTGTCTCTCTCGCACTCGACCGTCGTTGCTTGGGGGTGCGAGAGAGACAGAGCGACGCCGGGCACGCAGTGACACCATCGTCCTTCTCGTTGTTGCAGACCGGCCCGTGTGCAAGCCGGGGCAGCAGGCCGTGTGGGGCGTGGGCCGCGGCGAGACCATCACCATCCCCTGCGACGTGGACTCGAACCCGGACGAGGTGACCTTCACGTGGCGCCTCAACACGACGTCGGACAGCGTGGAGTTGCCCGCCTCGCGCCACAAGGCGGACCGCGCGCAGTCGCTGCTGACGCACACGCCGCAGAGCGAGCGCGACTACGGCACGCTGCTGTGCTGGGGCACCAACTTCCTGGGCCAGCAGAAGCAGCCCTGCGCCTTCCTCGTCATCCCCGCAGGTAAGCAGCGCGAAGCAGCGTGAAACAGCGTCAGCGTGCACGTGCACGCCAACGGGTGGGTGGTCTTTGGGCCTTCCCTTAGAACACCTTTGTTACGGAGTGCGATTAGCCACCTTAGTTTTACATCCCTACTGGGGCTCGCGGCCCCCGGTGGGCACGCCCGGAGCGCGGCCGTGGCATACGATCATGTGTGGTCTAGCCCGTAATGGTAATGGTAACGGGCGCCCGGCGGGTAGGCAAGCCCGTTGCACCGGCGCGCACGGCGGGCGGCCTAGGCCTGCATGACAGGCTGACGGACGCGGACGCCGCCGTGACGGAGGAGGGGAGGGCCCGGTGCAGTGCAGTGCGGTCGTGTGCGAGTGTTTTGTATTTGCATTTTGCGAGCGCGGGGCGGCGGCGCGGCGGCGCACAGGTTCTGACAGTTCCGCCCCCGTTCCGCGTCTCGCGTTCCGATCCCCGTTCTCGTGTGCAGAGCTTTTATTCGGCGTCGCCGGCAGGCAGCGGCAGCCGCCCGGCCGGCTGGGTGATTGAATTCAATTCCCTCCCCGCGAGGAAGGAGAAAAAAAAAACTCCGCGCCGCGGGGCCGCGGGGCCGCGGGCAGGGCTCAAGTTGGATGCAAGCGCGGCAAGGTGGATTCCACGCGCCAACTTTTTCAATAAAGGCACCGTTGCATCTCCATCATGAGTCTCTCCGTCGCGCGACCCGGACCCGGCTCGGCTCGGCTCGGCTCGGCTCGGCTCGGCACGGCTCGGCTCGGCTCGGCTCGGCTCGGCTCGGCTCGGCTCGGCTCGGCTCGGCTCGGCTCGGCTCGGCTCGGCTCGGCTCGGCTCGGCTCGGCTCGGCTCGGCTCGGCACGGCTCGGCTCGGCGCGATGCGCGCGTGGCTGCAGCTGGAACTAACTCGCTCGGTAATGGCGGTTGGTAAATGAGTGCGCACACGCCAGCTGCTTTATGGTGTGGCGGGGCGGGGCGGGCCGGGCTGCCGGCTGTTGCGGCGCTCCTCGCGGCTCGGCATGGCCGTGGCGTGCCTCCGCCGCCGCCAACGCGTGACGCGTGGTGCCTGGTGTCGTAAGTCAGCCCGGATTATCTAGCCTCGTGCCGCGCCATGCCGCGCCGCGCCGCGCACGCCGCACTGTGAAACGGGAACGGACTGTCAAAGCGTCGCAACGAGCTTGTTGTCCCGCGGCGTGCAGCGCAGTGCATGAGGGGCAAAAACCCCTTATTCTCCCCCACCTTCACCGTATCTGCGCCTGGTACAGCCAGTTGACGTTCTTGGTGGCCGTTGCAGGGAAACCCAACTCGCCGATCAACTGCACGCTGACCAACCAGACCACCGAGTCGCTCTCCGTGGCCTGCTCCGAGGGCTTCGACGGCGGCGTGCCCCGCCAGGAGTTCGTCCTGGAGCTGTACGACGAGACGTCCCAGGCCCTGGTGTCCAACGTGACGGCGCGCTCGCCCGTCTTCAACCTGGGCGGGCTGGAGTCGGGCCTGGACTTCCGCGTCGAGCTGTACGCCTACAACACCAAGGGCCGCAGCGAGGCCGTGCAGATGCACGCCTTCACGCTCAAGGGCGCCGAACGCCGGCTGGGTGAGTTGGCCGGCATCGAAAACTCTCGGCCGCCGCTCAGTGGGCCAGAAAGGCGGCGGGGGCGGCCAAAATTCTAGACGCGTTTTGAGCTCCAGTCGCTAAATAGGACTCGACACGAACGTGTGACCCCACCAATGGTTCGGAGGGCAATCCACTGGTGGGGTCACACGTGCGATTCGAGTCTCATTTAGCTCTGGAGCTCAAAACGCGTCTAGGGTGTTAGCCGCCTCCGCCGGTCTTCTGGCCCACTGTGCGCCGGGTTCATTTCCACCTGAAACTGCCGAAAAGTGCAATTTCATTCCATTGTTTTCGTTGTTTGTTTCTGCAGCCGCCACCCAGGCCACCCTGCAGATCACGCCGCTGGTGGGGCTGCTGGTGGGCGTGGTGGCGTCCCTGGTGCTGGCCGCCGTGCTCATCGTGGTGGTGCTGCGGATGCGCGGCCGCGGCGAGTCCAACGACGAGAAGTCGGAGGAGGGCTCGCGCAGAGACAAGAACGCCACCATCTCCACCGCCAAGGCGGACGCCGAGCAGGGCGGCCCGGGCGCCGGCCTCGGCGACGAGAACAACCCGGACCTCATCCCGGACAAGAGTGGTGAGAGCTCGCCCCCTTTATTTTTCGTTTGTTGTCGTTTTTTTCTCTTTATTATTTCTCCCTTATTGTTTTTGTTTTCGTAGTTTACGACTCGTACTCCGTGATATCGGAGTCGAGCCTTATTTAGCCATATTGCACGCCTAGTTTGCTTCTTCCCACGAACCACGAGACTACACTGTGCGACGGCCGCCCCCCAAAACGAGAACGGTAAGCAAAACGCAGCCGATGGGAAAAACATGCGGATAATTATTGGCAGTAATTTCCCCTGGGTGCTCAACCCCTTCCCCTCTCCCCTCCCCCCTCGACAGGTGATCCCACAATTACAGGGCCTGCACACCCAGATCACAGCGGCCACTCCCCGCGCAGTGCCGTCCCGGTCGTCCCGCGAGACACTATCGCGCTTTCATAACGACTGTCACTGAGCGGGGCGGGGCGGGGCGGGGCGGGGCAGGGCGGGACGGGGCGGGGTGAGGCACTGGTCGTGGCGTCAAGGCCGCTTTAAATCGCCCCAATCCAACGCCAGATTGGCGATGTGATGTTGGCCCGCCAGCGATCCGCAGCCGAGCTAGCGGGAACTGGTCGAGTCATGGTTTCGCCCCTTTGCTTTCCCCCTACCCTTCCCCCCCCCCCTCTCTCTCTCTCTCTCTCTCTCTCTCTCTCTCTCTCTCTCTCTCTCTCTCTCTCTCTCTCTCTCTCTAATGGCGCTCGCGCGGCGAATCTCGTCGAGATTGACAGATTTGTCACCGTCACAAATTCGTTTGGTTCGTTCTGCAGCGCGCACGGCCGCCGCCGCCGTGCTGCGTGCGCACTCTAGTCACATCTGCGGCAGTAGACTGATTCCGAGAGTCGTCGCTCTGTCTCTCTCGCACCTGTACGGAGCGCCCTCATGAGTGCGAGAGAGACAGAGCGACGAAAACGACTCTCGGAATCAGTGTGCAGTGCCCGAAAGTGCGCGCACGCGTGCTTGGTCCGTTATATCACTTTATTTTGTAATTTTAACTCGGGGCACGGCCGTATAATCCGGCGGGACTTTGTGTCCCCGTGCCAGGGCCGCGGTTCCATCCCGCGGGCCGTCCCGCCACCATCGCGGTGTTTTAAACGCCGCCTCGTAAAGCTGCGATTCAATCCGCCATTCCCGCCATAACGGGGGCCGCGCCGCGGGCAGCGCTCCGCCGCTGTCTCTCTCTCTCTCTCTCGCACCCCCACGCGAGGCCCTTCGACTTGCGAGAGCGAGTGAGAGAGAGATAGACACTTGTTCGGAATCGGCCTGCCGCCGTGACGCCGTGGACGCCGTGGCTGAGCCGCGCTCAGTGCACTGTACACTGTACACCGTACACAGCGCAGCGAGACGGGGACAGCCACTTGTACGAAGGGGAGCAGCAGACTGATTCCGAGAGTCGTCTTCGTCGCTCTGTCTCTCTCGCACTCACGGGGCGTTCCGAGTGGGTGCGAGAGAGACAGGGCGAGGAAAGCGACTCTCAGTGTGCTGGCTGCTCCAGGGACGCCGGGCTGCGCCGGGCGGCACGCTTCCTGCCTTCCTGCCCTGTCGGCCACAGCACCGTGCTGCCGCCGTGCCAGCTCGGCGGCTCGGCCGCTGCCACCCCTTTGGAGGCGAGCCAGGCGTATTAGGTGCCCTGTGCGTTCTGGTTCAGCCGCCTGCGTCCGAGGCCCCCTTCCGTCGCTCTGTCTCTCTCGCTGCCCTGCGCGGCGCCCTGCGAGTGCGACAGAGACGGACGGAGCTGGAGGCGGCTGTGTGTGCGGTGCACATTTGCGGCGACGGAACGCGCGGAAAACGGGGAGCGTTTCGGGCTGTCGCGGCTGGCGCCAACCACGCCCCGAATACAGTGTACCGGTGGGAATTAACAAGAAGTGTCGCCGCGAGGGGGACTCGAACCCGCAGCCCGCGCGAGCCCGCGCCTTGGAGCTGGCCGAGAGAGGTGACTCAATCAGGCAGGGGCATGGGGGCCTGCCTCCAGGCCTGCCTTTAGGCCAGCCTGAGCAGCCGCGGGAGGGGCAGGACTTTGCAGAGAGGGCCGGCCGGGTAGGGCCCTTTGCTGGATCGTCACTCCATCAACGCGACCCTCTATCTCTCTCTCCTCCCTCTCGCTCCCTCTCGCTCCCTCCCGCAGGCCGCCGGTGACACTTTTTTTTCCATCTTGTATCCCCTTAATGTCATTCTGATGAAACAACTCCACCTCCGCGGAAAGTTTCTCGCTCGGAAGCGAGGCAAGGGGATCCCCGGCCCGACCCGCCCCCCCCCCCTCCCCTCCCCCCCTCCCCCCCCTTCTCCCTCTCCGCAGGCAGTCAGGCCAAGGCGGGCCATCGCCGTGCCGTGATTAAACGAGCATTTGTGTTGATCCGCGGCGAGGACGGCGTAGGCTGATGCCGCACGGCGCTGCTCCGTCCCTCTCGCACTCGTGGGGGCGTGCCGTGCGGGTGCGAGAGAGACGGAGCGACTGCTTTCGGAGGCAGCCCGGCGACGCGCAGCGGGGCGACCGCCGCGGGTACCAGCAGCGGGGGGCCACCGCCATGCGACCGCCATGAGCCATCGGGGCCATCGGCCGCGGGGACTTTCTCCGGCGAGTTTCACCCCGACCGAGTTTGTAACCCCTCGGTGTTCATGTACGCCGTGGCCTGCCCCGCCACGCCCCGCCACGCCCCGCCACGCTGCAAGGCCCCGGGCCGACGTGGACCCGGGCCGCCCCATTCAGAGCGTCGTGAAGATCCGGCACCCGGAGAAGTGCGACTACGGCCAAGTTTGGCACAGCCACACGGACACGCACACTCACACGCACACACACACACGCACACACACACGGGGTAACTTTTCATGTAAGGTGCGTGGGCGTTTCCTGCGTAGGGCCATACCGTATAACAGCCTGTCACAAGTGATTGTGGAGGAGGCGGTCCCGGTTCCCTGGGGCTGAATGGGCCACACGCGCCAAACGCGGCTACGCGGCTCAAGAGGGGTCGGGTCCGAGGGTTCAGTTTCGTTCCCGGCTGACCCACCGCGTCGTTCGGTCACGCCGTCTCTGTCGCACTCACGGGCCGCTCCGTCAGGGTGCGAGAGAGACTTCTTTAATGCGCCGCGGTGCGCGCTGCACTCGCCGCCCTATTTTCGGTTATTTATGCCGACCATAAAGCGCCCGGCTGGGCGAGCGCGGGCCGAGCGCGGGCCGAGCCGGCCAACGGCGACGGCAAAATTAAATCGAAGCTCCGGACACCCCAAATTGGCGCGCGAATGGGTATCGAGCATGGCCATAATGTGCGCAAGCTGTTGCGCGGCAAGGCGGGGCGGCGGGGCGCGGCGGGGCGCGGCGGGGCGCGGCGGGGCGCGGCGGGGCGCGGCGGGGCGCGGCGCGCTGCAGGCCAATGCAGCATGCCAGGCTAACGGCCTTAATGAGCTTCGTCAGCGGCAGCTTTTTTAATGGTGCTCTCGCTCATCGAGTTCATCTCGCTCTAGTCTGCTGCAGTGCGCAGACCGGGCCGGCGCAGACCGGCCGCGGGGCGCGCCAAACGCCAACGACGTACCCGGCTAAACGATTTCGCCGTTGTGTCTCTCTTTTTGCGTTTTTGTTTCCCCTCGCGGGTAGACAAGCGCGATGAATTCGAAGCGAGCCAGAGAGGTGCACGTACCCGGCCGTCTGCCTGTGGGTCTGTGAGGCTCCAGCCTGTGCACAATGTGTCGTTGCCCGCGGCACTCTTGGAGCCCGACTTTGGTACACTGTTTCACCGCCCCTCAGCCCCTACCCCACCCCCACCCCCACCCCCTCGCACCCCACCCCTTCGGCTCCCTTTTCAACCCCACTAAACTACTATTCACCAGCAACGCCGTGCCAGCTACTACGCCGCCACGCCACGCCACGCCGCGCCGCGCCACGCCGCGCCACGCCGCGTAGGAGCAAAACAATCCCCTCTTCCTCGAGTTCTCTTTGAGTTGGACCACGCCGAGCAGCGCGCGCGTTTGCACAGTCTCCCTCTCCCCCTCTCTGTCTCTTTCTCTCTCCTTCTCTCTGCCCGTCCCCAACAGCCAGGCACGTGTTTGGTCGTCATCTGCTTGGGCCTGATGACGTGGGGATTGCGCTCCCCATGGCGTACCTAGAGGCGTACCGAAAGGCGTACCTAGAGGCGTACCGAAAGGCGTACCTAGAGGCGTACCGAAAGGCGTACCGAGAGACGTACCGAAAGGCGTACCGAAAGGCGTACCGAAAGGCGTACCGAAAGGCGTACCGAAAGGCGTACCGAAAGGCGTACCGAAAGGCGCACCGACAGGCACGCAAGGCAGGCAAGCAGTGTAGGGGCCGTCCCCGGGGGGTCCTTGGCGGTTGTGCGGCCGGGTCGTTTACCTCAACAAACTGGTACCGCGACGCCGAGAAGGCCGTCGCAGCCGCCGGCAGGCTGTCTCTCTCGCGCCCATACAGGACGCTCCACGAGTGCGAGAGAGAGAGAAACAGGCGACAGGGCCCCCCGCCAAGGCTCCGGCCGCCAGGTTCCGCCCGCCACGAGTGTGCCTCCTGCGTCTGAGGGAGCGCTCTTTGGATCCCGGCGCCTCAAAGGACCCCTCCGCGTTGCTCCGCGTGAGGCACGCATAAGTGCGCGCGTGGCTCCGAAGGCGCTGGTTCCGGGAAGCACCTCCCTCGCTCTGTCTCTCTCGCACCCATCCGGCGCGCCTCGTGAGTGCGAGAGAGACAGAGCGACGACAGCGCTCCGGATTGAATCAAACGGCTGCCTTTGCTCGCGGCGCCGGAGAGGAGCGCGCCGCGGCCCGCGGTTCAAACGCACCGATTTTCCTTGTTGTTGTTAGTTGGCTCCAGCTTGTTGCAGTGGTTTGTTCTTGATGCTATCGGTGCTTTTTTTCGGCGGGAGCGCGCGGTGGAGTGCGAGAGAGACAGGTGAAGTACCGGCGCGGGCCGCCGCTACGTGAGTTAATGTGAGTGCGAGAGAGGCAGGTGAAGTGCCGGCACGGCCGGCGTGATAAAGCACCCAACTTCTCAAATAGGTCCCTGGCCTTAGCAAAAGCCTGAAAGAGCGACCCGGGGAGGGAAAAGGGAGGGGGGGGGGCTGTCTGCGTCTTGTCCGAAACTTGACGCTGCGGTCGGTACCGGTGCACGAGTTAAGATGCTACCTCCCAGAGGGCTGCAGCGTTGCATAGTTCCATAACGAAATGTTGTCTCTGGTCAAACTCCGCGATAGGTCCACAGTGTCCTTGCATGTCTCACCGAAATGTTGTCCCTCCCTGGGGTCGAAATTCCTCGATGGGTCGATGGGCGTCTCGGGCCTCCTGAGGTGCTGGAGATCTTTCCGTCCAGTGGAGGACGCCTCCAGAGAGTGGAAAGGGGGTCGCCGCCTACTGGAGTGGCGCGCGGGACAGCCCATACATAGTTTCCTTAATGCCCCAAAGTTGGAGGCACTGTCCAGGGTCCCTCTAGGTCCGCGCTCCGACACTGCCGGCACTGCCCCCCGCAGCCTAAGTGTTCCATCAAACACTCCTCCTCCCAGAACCTCAGGTCCACGCCGCCTCGCCTCACCCCACTCCGCCCCGCCCCGCGCCGCCCGGCCGGGCTTTGCTCTGCTCGCTCTGCTCGCTCGGAGGGGACGGCGGCGGCCTTTCGCCCGGACAATGTATCACACGGAGTCGATCGTAAACTGGGGACCCCTCCTGTACGCACGTCTGCGGGGGGCGCCGTCCTGCAGGCTGACCGTCCCTCGTCGCTCTGTCTCTCTCGCACCCTCACGGCTCTCGCGTGAGTGCGAGAGAGACAGAGCGACGGCACTGGGAAGCAAGCTGCTGGTCAGCAGCCTGGCGGCGGTGTCGCGGAGGAACGGGGGACGCGTGGCCGTCCATCGCGCACTGTCCACCTGAGCCTCAAGACTGATTCCGAGAGTCGTCTTCGTCGCTCTGCCTCTCTCTGGTACTCACTGGGCGTTGCGCATGGGTGAGAGAGAGACAGAGCTTCCAAAACGACTCTCGGAATCAGTCTGCTGGCCCACCTCGCGTCCATCCAGTACGCGCTCTTGTTGGACGCCGAAGGGAAGCTTCCTGGCCGCGCCACCCGAGCGATTCCTCACGTCGGTGCAGTCTCTCTGTCTCTCTCGCACCCGTGGGGCGTCCCGCAAGGGTGCGAGAGAGACCGAGACAGGAACGCTGTTTGAAAATGAGCCTACAGGGCCGGGCACACTGCGAGGCGCACTGCGGCACGGGCTGCAGGGCCCACACGACATGTTTGACCCCGGAGAGCACTCGTGCGTGCCGTTGCCCCCTCCCCCTCCCCCTCGCCTTTGACGCGCTGCCTCGCTGCCAGGGGACCCACAACTCGAGCGATTATCTCGATTGCTCTCGTTTGATGACGGTTCGACGCGCAGAGCCGCGGCGGGGGGAGGGTCTGGGGAGGGGGGCTGTGTCCGGGGGCGAGGAGGCGAGGCGGCGCACACAAAGTGACCTCGTCACGCGGCCGCCTGCCCGCCTGCCCCACTCGGACCGCTCGGACGCAGCCTGTGTGTGAATATACGTCACGCTGGCCTCCCCTGCAGGCGCTCTTTTCTCTCTCTTTCCCGCACTGATGGGGCGTTCCGCGTTCCGTAGTGGTGCGAGAGAGAGAGAGAGAGAGAGAGAGAGAGAGAGAGAGAGAGAGAGAGAGAGAGAGAGAGAGAGAGAGAGAGGAAGCTGCTGTCCGGGGTGCCAGGCGATCCAGGCCGTCCTTGCGCCCCGTGCCCACGTGCGCTTCTGCGATTCGCGACCCCGCAGGCTGCCTGTCTCTGTCGCACCCACGGCGCGCCCCGTAGGAGTGCGAGAGAGACAGACGACTCTTTGGATAGGCTGTCGCGTGCTGCTTGACCACATCGAGGCCACGCAGCCTCCCCTGCTGCGGCGGCGATGCGCCTCTGCTGCGGTGTCTGCGTCCCCGTCACTCTCTCTCTCTCTCTCTCTCTCTCTCTCTCTCTCTCTGTCTCTCTCTCTGTCTCTCTCTCTCTCTCTCTCTCTCTCTCTCTCTCTACGGGAAGCTATTTTCCCTCTGAGGCCTATAATTAATTTTTGGTAGCGACACCCCACTCCTCATCCCCTATCCCATTCCGGGCACGCAACACCACTGGGGCCATGGATCTCATCAAACCAGTGATAAGTTGCCGTTTTTCTTGTTTTATGTGCGTTTCGTTTGTTTTTTTTCCTTTCGTTTTCAATTACTCGCTAGTGGGTGGGTGCGTGTGCCTGCCCCCCTGTATCCTCAGTAATTACCTGCATGGGAGCGGAATGATTAGCTCTACACACACGCACACGCTCGCCTGTCAAATTTGCCCCCGAGCTGATTGGCTCGAAAGTGTAGTGATGAGGCAATCCGAGACCCGCGGCCCCCTTTTTTGAATACTGAGTAGGGCAGCGCTGATCCGACCCCAATGAATAATATATGGTTAGCGCATGTTTGACAGTTTCCTTTGCATTGCCCACGCACATGAATGCAACACGTGCGCACTCGCTGCTGGCAAAATAATAAAAATAAAATCGAACAGAGGGACCAAAAAAAACGCAGGAATCGCTCGGCTTCCAGTGCGGTGGCTCTCATTGTGCAGGCGCGATCATAAAAACGTGTAAAATTGATTGCGCCGCTTGCCGGACAATGCGACGCCACTGTATTGGGATTGCCGGCGCGGTCTTTTTGTTAAGGCTTGTCCTGGCTGGTCCTCGCTGGTCCTGGACGGACCTGGATTGTCCTAGCTGGTCCTGGATGGTCCTGGCTTGTTCTACCTTGTCCTTTCTCGTCCTGCATGATCCTGCCTGCCTGGTGCTGGCCTGTCCTGGCTGCACCGTTAAATCGGTTCCTGGTTTTACCAGGAAGTCCCTGGAAATTGCCAATGTCTCTACACTCCCTCACCCGCCTCTGTCTTTGCCCCCAGCGGACGACTTCGTGGACCCGGAGGAGAAGGCCTTCGAGTACCTCAACGACCGGCGGCTCTACTCGACGCTCAACCCGCGCCTCGGACTCTACTCGCCCACCACCATCGACCACGTGGGTCCCAGCATGGGCAGCATGGCCGGCGGACCGAAGATGGTGAGCACAACCGGATCGCGGAGAATGGGACGAAACAAACCCAAACCAGGAAGGGAGCTATCTCGTGGCTCTGCGCGGGGATTGTCTCTGCGAGGTCGGCCAGGTCACGCTGCCATTGTCGCTGCTTGATGAGGTTCGGGACGCACGCACACACACTCACTCACACACACACACTCACACTCACAAATACACGCGGACACGAACACTGGCCTGATAACGCAGTTGTTGTTTCCTTTACATCAAGCGGCGCACTTTTAAATTACGTGAGGACGGCGCCATGGCGTGGCGGGGCGCGGCGCGGCCTTGCTCGCCTTGTTATGTATATTTATTTCGTTTTTCATTTGTTCGGGGGGATTTACTGCGCTGTTGTGTGTTGGCTAGCTCAGCACTGTTCTGCTATGCTGAGTGCGAGCAAAAAAAAAAAGTTTGCTTTTGAATGCGCGCGCGGTGGTTCTGTTTGGACTGAGACTGAGCGAGTGTAGTGTCCGCGGGGATGGTGCGCGAGGCGGAGGCGTCGCGTCAGCTTCACGTTGAATCACGCGCGTATTGTCCGCGCCGACATTGCTTCGGATTGTTTTCATTTTCCGCGCTGTATCAATGTTCTGCTTGTTCCAGGACGGGGAAGTGACGTACGCCGAGCTCGCCCTGCAGCGCCCCCACGGAGACCCCTGCCTTCAGCGGGCCAGCCTGTCGCCTTCGCCGCAGCCCCTGTCCTTGGGCGGCCCCATGGGGGGCCCCATGGGGGGCCCTCTGGGGGGCCCTCTCGGCAGTCCCATGGGGGGGCCCATGGGCGGCCCCATGTACGGCGCCATGGGTCCGGGCCGAGGCCCGTACGGCGGCCCGGGATCGTCCATGACGCTGCCCCACCCGGGCCAGCGCGGAGGCCTGGTGTCGTGTCTGCGGCGGCCTCCGGGCCCCCACCACGGCCAGGGCCTCGGCCACGAGCCCACCATGTACGCCCAGATCGCCATGTGCCGCGGCGGGCCGTCCGGGGGCCCAGGCCGAGGCCGGGACAACAGTCTGGTGGAGGACGTCGTCGGCGAGGCCGCGGAGGCCCCCGTCATGGCGTCGGAGCACCGGGAGAGTTCAGTGAGTGTCTGGGCGCAGCCTTGGCCACGGCCTCGGACGCAGCCCTGGCCCAGCGGGCGGAGGCAGCCAAGCCACCTGTACCACCTCTACAGCGGCTTGGCCTCGGACCAGGTGAATGCGGTGCGGCGGTGTGTCTGACTACTACACTGCACTCGGCGAGGGCTGGAGAGGAGCGGCACCGCATCCTTGTGTCGACTCAGACACGGTGCAAAGCAATTAATCGATTGTTGTTTCCAGGCGAGATATGCGGTCTAAAAGCACTGACCTTCGAACGCGAGCTCCATGTAAGCCAACTGACTCTCTGACGAGGACAGAGAGGGAAACACCCTTTTTTGCGCACCGGCTGAGAAACACGTTGTTTGGAAACACCACACCGGTTGTCCGCACCCCCAATCACTACGCACAGTTATTTTGTTCACAAATCAAACTGTACATATTTGTTGGACACACGCACCTCCCCACCACCACCTTCTTCAGGCGGCCGTCTGTTCAAAAATCGACATCAGAATTTCAATTTCCTACGAAACAACGGTGAATGGAAAGGCAAAATGGTGGAAAACGACGTCATAACACGTCCCGCAGACGGCACGAGCTGCCTTTCGGCCCTGGATACGAATCGCGTCGCGTCCCAGTCTGACGGAGTCTATATTCAACGGATGCCCCACCCCCCTCTCCCAATCTCTCTTTCTCTCTTTCTCGGCCAATCAGAACTTGGCCTTCTTGTTCTTCGCGGAAAAGTGCGGACCGACTGCACCAAAAGTTTCCCGTCGTTTGCTATGCTCCCCTATATATATAGTGCGAAGCAGGTAGGAGGACGGACGGGCGAGCGCGGGCGGGGCGGGGCGGGGTGGGGCGGGGCGGGGCGGGGCGGGGCGGGGCGGGGTGGGGCGGGGCGGGGTGGGGCGGGGCGGGGCGGGGCGGGGTGGGGCGGGAGAGCGGATAGGCAAGCAAAGCCCGCAAATTGGGCTGCGCCATTACCCCCGTACAAACAGGGTCCATCTGGCCCGGCCGGACTGAGTCGTGTCCAGTGGAGGCCCACGCAGCCCTGGACTAGGGGCCAGGCGGGGCCAGGGAATGAGGCAGAAAGCAGATTCAGTAGCGAGACCCTTAAAGCCCGGCTGCCGGCAGGCTGGGTGGACGGCTTGGTCTGGATGGCCTGGATGGATGCGGGCGAGCGAGACTGTGTGGGCCTATCGCGCCGAGCCGAGCCGAGCCGGGCCGAGCCGGGCCAGGAGGGTCAACTCTTCCTCAACTAGTTGATCGCGGAGCCCAACTCCCGGCTGGCGCTGCCCCGCTGCCCCGCCGCTCGCGCGGAGTGGCGCGCAGAATTCCTCGGAACTCGTCCCGTCCCCTCGGTCAATCGATACTTGACAAAGCAGGCCTTCTTTATCTTGATGACAGCCCGGGCGGGGCGGCCACGCCGAGGGCCACGCGCCCCAACGGAGCGGCGGCGGCGCGGAGAGGACTGGACCAGGCAGCCCGCTAATGAGTGTTTGGTGGAGCCGCGGAGGGGAGGGGGGCTACTTCGACTCGAACGGCGAGTCGATGAGTTTTACAGTGATATGGAGTCGAATCGCGTGGTTTAATCGATCACCTTTTTCTTTTTCCATTCAAGTGAATCCCTCATTTCTTAAATATGGGAGAAGGAGAGAGACTGCGAAAAACCGATCTCCCGAATCGCTCCGCCGCCGCTCGCGGTGCTTCAGCTTCGTTTGGCGGGGCTTTGCTCCAGTTTGATCCCCGGACGGACGGACAGACAGGCGGACAGGCGGCGCGCCGAGGATGAGTGCGGGATAATTATCGCTCCAGCCTCAGCCGCGTGCTTAGCGTCGCTGTGCTCTTGAAAAAGTTGGCGGCCGCGAAGGAGAGCCGCCCGTCGCAGCCGTCCGCGGCAGCGACACCTCGTCGCTGTGCCGCCGTGTCTCGCTCGCACCTGCGCGGGACGCCCCCGTGAGTGCGAGAGAGACAGAGCGACGAAAACGACTCCAGTCTGCAGCAGCTGCTGCCTGCTCGCGTACTAGCCCCCCCCCCCCTTTCCCCCTCCCCTCTGCCGTAATTCCGATTCGCAAGAAAAGTGATGAACTAACCGCCGCGTCGTCGTTTTGTCGTGTAGTGTACACACGGGCACGGCGGAGTCAGTTGCTTACCTTGTGAACAAGAGATAACCCGCTTCCCCCCCCCCCCCGGCTCCCTCGCCGCCTGATGCGCCCTTTCCACCTGTTTGTCCCGCAGCCCCGCACCGCCCCGCACTCGTGCTTTGCATAACATCACTCCGGCCGATCCCGACACAATACACACACACACACACACACACACGCGCGCGCACTTACACACGCAGTGAGCAGTCTACTGTACACGAATCACAAGCTACGCCGCCCCGCTGAGAAGGCCGCCCCCACGACACGCGGATCAAACGCATCGCTGTGTACAGTGTACGGCGATTATGGAGAATAAAGCTCCGCCACGGGCCGATAGGTCGGACACGTGCTCCAGCCCAGAGAGTGTATATGTGTGTGTGTGTGTGTTTGAAAGTCACGAGCACGTGGAGACTCTAGCACCGCACCGCCGCACCCCGCCTGTCCAAGCCAAGCCCGCGGCGCAGCGAGCCGAACGCGAGGTCGACGCCTGGAGTCCAGAAGCTCCGTCTCTCTCGCACCCTCGCAACGCAATGGCGGAACGCCCCACGAGTGCGAGGGAGACCGAGCGAAGACATCAGCCTGCAGGGTAGGCAGCGCACTGGCGCGGCGCGCACGCCTGCCTTGGCGTTGCCTACCCTCCCGATTGCAGGGGCTCCGCTTCCTCCGCGCTCGCCGTCGGAGGAGGCGGTCAAAATGCCGGACGCGTTTTGAGCTTCAGAGTCGCTAAATGCGACTCGGACCAAACGTGTGATCCCCACAAATGGGTTGCTCTCTGAACGAGGAATCCATTGGTGGGGTCACACGCTCGGCTCGAGTTCTGTTCAGCGACTCAGGAGCTCTAAACGCGTCTAGAGTTTCTCCGCCGGCGCCGGTCTTCCGGCCCACTGTGCGCTCTCGCTCTGTCCACGGTGGACTTCCAGTGTGCCTCCAGCGCGTTTGCAAAGCGTGACCCCTGTTGCAGATATCGTCGCTGCAGCCGCTGCTGGAGACGCGCTGCAACACGATTGGCGGACACGGCAAGGGGCTGGCGGCCTTGTCGGCCATGTCGGGCATGTCTGGCGGCATGCACGGCAAGCCGCTGCAGCCCCTGCCCGCCGTCACGGCCACGCGGTTCTGACAGCACACCCTCCCCGACGACCGCCTGCACCTGCAGCTGGACCTCAGCCCGCCGCTCGACGTGGGCGGCTCCGCCGGCGCCACGCCGCTGCTGCCGCCGCCGCCCGAGTACGAGTCGGACCACGAGGGCGGCTCGCTGCCGCCACCGCCGCCGCCGCCGACCGGCCTGGCCCCGAGCACGCTGCCGCTCAGGACTTTCAGCCAAAGCCTCGGCTACGGACACGGCCTCTGCGACGTGGCGGAGGAGGGCGACGAAGCCCTGTGAGCGTGAGCGCCTCGCTGGCGGTGACACGGCCTCGCGCGCCCCGTCGGCGGCCAGACCGATGGCCGTTGTTGTCTCAAGGTGCCGCCAGCACCGCCGCCGAGCCGTGCCAGACAGTACTGCGAGGCAGGCAGTGCTCGCTAGTCGCTCCGGCCCAAGTTTCTCTTGTTGGCAAACATGGCCGCCGACGAAACTTGTTGCCGGGGGACGCGCTGGCGCTTGAGCTGCCGCTTTAGCCGCCGCTTTAGCCGGCGCTGGCGGTTCCGGCGGGTAAGCAGACACTGAGCGCGGCTAAGCGGGCCGCTAAGCGGTGCTAAGCGGCGCTGAGCGGCGGTCCAAACACCGAAACGGGGCTCGACTCCTGCAGACGCCGCCTTCGCCGCGCCGTACTTCTTCGGCCTGCTGAAGCACGACCTAGCGAGTGCCCCCCTTCCCCTTTGCCCCCCTCCCCCTCGCCCAGAGCCAAGTGTGTGGAGCAGGGCGTCTCTCCGATGCGGACTAAAAGTGTGTGACGATATTTTGTGGAAGAAGTGACTAAAGTGATGAGAGAAAGAATAAAGTGACCTTAGGTGTTTTGAAAAGCAGTGCGTGATGTTAAATATGCGTTTTGAACTTTTCTCAAACTGAAAAGAAATTGTCCATCCAGATATGCGAAAACATGAATTATTTCATTCTAGCGTGTTTGAATATCATTCAAATATTTTTTGTCTAATTAATCTACGTACGTTTTGATGTCGCTCTGAATGGTGTAAATGCTCAAAATTCATGTGTTTCGTGTTTCATTTCTCTATTTATTACCTGATTGTTTTCTTTTCCTTTAAATGTTAATGGAGCTGTGTGTTTGTTCTATTTTATATACGCTGTATGTATTGTGTAAATGTTCGTACGTCGTTGACTGCACAAGAGATTACAGACTTGTGGCTAAATGTGAGCTTTCTAATTACCCCGTTCATCCTGATTGAAACCATTCTAGCGTGATCTTTATCATGAGCGTGACTGTTAGTATTAGTTAGTAATCCAATATTTTCCGTTTGAAACCTTAATATCATCCTTGCTTGTTTACATTTTCCTCAACCACCTCGTTTGTTTGTATCTGTATGAACGGGGCAGCGTCTACTACCGGTACACTACTTTCTACTTTGAAAAAATACAGAAATCTTGATTGTTTTTTGCATATGTGGAGTGTTGATTTTTTGTCACTGCCTTTCCCTCACCGCGACACTGAAGACTAAAGCTCCACTTCCGGTCTTTGTGGGGCAGTCTGCCCTGCCGCACCGCCCTGGATACCGTAGGGACCGTAGGGACTGGTGGAGCGGCAGGGCAGGGCACGGCCCCGGCACGGCCACGGCACGCCACGGCACGGCCGAGCACGATGCCCCATAAAAGGAAACCTTAATTTAATTAAAAACTATGGCGGGCCGGGCGCACTTGGCTGCGATCGCTAAGTGAATCCCGGCCCTAGAACTGCCACGACCAAGAGGAATAAAATGACTTAGAATTTCAATGCACACTTAAAAAAAAATTGATGAGTTTTGATAATTATTTTTGGCAGGATAATTTCATTACGTAGTACGTACTCCGAGTCTAGTAGAGTCAGTCGCCAGCGATGCGAGTTGAGCTCTGGTGCGGTAAAGAGCCTGGATGGGTTGCCTAACTTTCTGGCGCATGCTCATACAGCTCTAGTTTTTCGCAAGACTGTTCGTTGGGACGTGTGCTTGACCCCCACAATGGAACTCCCATGAAACTATCCGGTGATAAAGTTCAGTCGCCCACATACGACTCCTAGTAATTCCATTCAAATTTATTATACCAGTGTGCCGCTACGCGAGCTGCGCCGGCAGAATGTAACGGCATTCCCACTGGCTGGGACCGCGGCCTGGCCCCTGGCCCAGGCCTGGGCGGCTTCATTTAGATTCAGATCCATCCAAACACGGATTCTGAGGCGGCAACGCAATTAACATAGGCGGGGATGAATATGAATATGCATGTTTTTGGACGCACCAGATCATGCAACCGTGTACGCCCTTCCTCCACACCCCTTCCTCTTTACCCCTTGCAGTTCCTTTGCAGTTGTGTCATGGATGCAGTGACAATCAGAGTATTAGAAAGATCCTCCTGTGCAGCAATAGGAAACCTTCAGAAGCAAGAAGATCAACAGTGCCTCAATCGGCAACTGGAGAAGAATCATACAACACTCTCTTGATAATCATTTATTTTTTATTTACAAAATACACGGTACAGGGTTTTACCATTTCTGATATTCAACTACAATACAAATGAAAGACATAAAACAATGCCCTCAGAATAAACTAAAATGATATTCATTACAGCAAAACTAACTTATTGCTAAGTAATTTCAACTCAGGTTGAAATTATGATCCTCCTCACAGTCTAAAAATAATTTCAGCCTTTACTACACTGATAACACTACACAATGTAATAGTTATATCCTCACAATTGCTTATGAGAGTCGCAAGCTGAAGCAAATAACACACCTCCCCCGATTATCACAGACATTAATTAACTTACAAGTCTTCACGCAAGACTTCAGTTTGGACAAATGCTCAAATCAATGTGCAACGGTAAGATCAGTCTGGTAAAAGCAAATATCAACAGATTCCTTTGACTACCTTGACCAGTTTGAGTTCCTGCCATAAATCTTAGCATCTGTCACTTTTATTTTTATTTTTTTGTTTTTATCCTTTTTGAAACCTCTAAGTTAAGAATTTTACATACAAAAGTATTCTTAACAGGCAAATGCCTATCCTAACATAAAGGAGATGTTGGGAACAAGTCAAATTATGTAAAATTCAATTATGTAATAGTACTGTCATGAGAAAAAATATCCTCTTTAAAATGGGCAAGTAGAAGAGATGCCTGCAAAACTCTAGCGAGAGGCCTTGCATGGTTCCCAGGAGTGTTCCACAAATGTGTCCATGTATTGGTTTGTGTGATCTGCAAAGGTCTCAATAGTGCCACAAGCAAGGGGGAACAATAAATATTACACAATAAACCTTCTTCTAGTAAAATAATACAATTATTTAAATTTTTGAATGATATTTCATACAGAACCACACAGATAAAAATAAATTAAAGATCGCAACCCTTAGGCATAAGCTAGCATAGCTTCCATATCACAAAAATCAGAATGTGTCCCTTATAAGCAAGATCTAAAGGTAGTTACAGAATGCAACCCACAAAACAGTAACAAACAAATTAGAAAATCAAAAGCAGTCTTTTCATGTGCAAATAAAACATCTGAGTAGGTAGGAACAGAATGTACAATAGCACAATAACTGCCAAAACAGGTCTTAATGGTAACCAACAAACCAATAACCTGGTAAAGCAGATAATACCAGGTAAAGAAGTTTATATAAGGGAAACAACATCAGTGGAAACAGACACCGAGAAACCAAAAAAGTGGCAGATCTAGAAGATCAACACTTAGATGATAATCAGCAAGTAATGCAACCACACATTTCATGCATTAGTGCAGTAAGTTACAAAGTCTTACAAGGTCGAGCTAAAGAACAACTTTCCAACAAAGAAATGACACAAAGTGTGCTTCAAAGTTAAGAATGTCTTAGTTAAGGTCACAAAAAATTAACAAAGTTTAAAAAAATTACACCTTAAAAAAGTCAAGTTAACAGTCTATAACATGATAAACAAAATGTAGGAGAATGTCAACTGTTGCAAGAACAAAACAATGTCTGGTTCTCATTCAGCTTTCCGTTTCTTTCTCTCTATCACTTCTTCACTATCTTCACACTGAGAACGTTTCACTACCGATGCTTCATTGCTGTCATCAGATGACTCAGGGTATGGAACTAAAGGCTGTTTGAGTGTAGTATTTGTGAGACGGGCGTTAGTTGATGCAGCAGAGCTACCAACTGTTAGCTCATCGGAAGTTATCACGGCTGAGGATTCAGAACTAGGAGGCACAGTCTCTTCATTTTCACAGCCATTATCTTGTTCCATTGGTTGCTCTGAAGCATTCTGAGAGTGAGAAAAACAGAAATTAAGAATTGAAAATTTCAGACAAAAGAGTACAGCAGACAACTGCCTACATGTGCTAGTCACAGTACTTACATTGTTCGAAGCTGCATCGCTTTGTAATTCTGCCATTTGTTTCCTTGCAACTTCAGAATCAGCCTCAGAATCAGCTTCTGCCAACCGAGCCTGGGCATCTTCATCTTCAGCAGTCTGCTGAGCTTTTAAAGAATTGTAATTGAATACCAGCTTAGGTAAATTGAGAGAAGAGGGGTCTATGTTCTGCTCTGTCATGAGATCGTGAAGAAGATTTACAATAAACTCTCGTTTTCTTGTAACAATCTCTTCAGGGAACCAATTTTGGAGTTGTTTGATGGGAGGATGATAATCCCTAATTGGATCCTGTGAGAAATACGAAAAGCATTCAATATTGAAAACAACAAAGCTGTGACAGTCAATTTCAATTATTACATGTGCATTACTAACCTTGAAGAACATTTCCACATACTGTAGTAAATATAGCCCACAGTCAGTGAAATTCGTCTGTTGAGGAACTTTAGGAAGCATTCCCTTGATTGTGTCCTTGGAAAATTCTTTGACTTTTCCTTGCTTTACCTTATACTCAATACCTAAATATTCCCGTAGGGTTGCTGCAACTCTGTAGCGTGGTGCACCAACCAGAGAATCGAAGATGAGAATACAGGGCCTGAAATAAAGCAAAGCAAGAATAAGATATTTCAAATTTAGGTAAACTGGAGACGTATCAACTAATAATTAGCCTCAAATCACTTACTGCTTAACTCCATCTCTCAGAGGAGGTTTCACTTTGTTGGCTGCAGATGGCACGACAGGGGTTGCAGCATTCACAGGAGGTGATTCATCAGCCAATTTAGCCTTGTCATCTTTTGACCCATTCTTTTCCTGAGCTGTCTCATTAGACTCCTCCTTGAAATAAAATAAATACTAGTTTAACTGACAGTTTTGAGGACAGAAGTTTGTTAACTCTGAGTAAACAAGATCCAAGTTACCTCTTCATCACTTTGAGTTTCAGCCATTTCTTCCTCATCCCCTTCCGCTTCATCTCTGTCAGATCCTTCATCACCATTGTCAATAGTTATTGTTGAAGCAGCAGGTGCCTTAACAGGAGTAATTGTGGTGGCTCCAATAGACATGACATTGTTTTGAACTGAAACACACACATCAATGCAATGAAGTCAAGTCAAGTGAATTTAAACATATATAAAACAGCCACAAACAAAAAAAAAAAAGAAGGGACTTTTTGGATGACAGGAAACAGTTATACCTTTCAATTTTGCTGTTGTTGCTGCTGCGGCAGCAGCCGCCACAGCTGCCGCTGATGATACAGAAGGAGATGGGATGGAGGCTGGCTTTGGTATGTCTATGGGCGTGTTATCACTCATTCTTAAACAGCCATCTTGTCCTGGGAAACAAACAATAGCCAAAAACCAATGGCAGCTGAAAAAAAATTAAACATGGTTTAGTTTTGCTTTATTACTGTGACTGCACTCCTAACACGTCTGAAATATGCTTACTTCTCATTGATGGGAATAATTATAAAGTCTTTACTGAACAGGTTAACATTTTTGGTCCATGTTTTGACTCTAGCATGTCTCTTTTCAGCAGGAGTCAACTTGGGATCATCCTCAATAGGGTGGCGACGGCCTTTAGTTTTAGGTCTAGAAGTGAGGCGCTTGTAGAAGAAGGATGAAAATACATGAGTCCGTTCTCGATCTTCTTCACTAAGGACTGACTGCATCAGGTACCTAAAATGTAAAACGTCAGGAGATTAATTTTCAAAGGGGGGTAAACAACTTAAATTATTTTCTTAATAGGGGGAAACTTACTTAAGGTAAAAATCTATAATGACATCATTTAAAAACTGATCTTCACCCAGGCAAGCATAATCTTCGGTATTAATGGAAATTCCTCCCTTGGAAGGTGGAGGTGGATAAATCATCATACTGTTAAAAATGAAAGATCAAAATCATGACCATGATAGACAAAAAAAAAATATGAAAGTAGCAACTATAAAATACATGGGGGGGGGGGGGGTATTAATACAAACGTTTGAATTTCAGCTCCTGGGACACCCAGTCTTGATCTCAAGGTATTCTGAAACAATAGAATGAAGCTCGATGAAGTAAGGTTAAATATATAAATATGCAACTTGACCATGAGATAAAACACAAATTTCTCACCTCACATGGAGAGGATTTGACTAAAATTTCATTTGCTAAACCATTGCCAATTTCTACCAAGATCTTTTGATTAATTTCCACTATCTTTTTCAAAGTCATTTTGAAATCTTCTGTTATTTTTTCAGGGAGCAGTGTTATTAGTTTAAGTGTGTCTTCACTTGAACCCGGGTCAAAGTAATATGACTTAATATTAGAGTCATTCATATGTAAAGCTTTCCTAACTTTATGACCACTATGTGCATGAATGCTTATAAATAGTACTGGCATTGAACGAGAAAATGAAACCATAAGCTGAACAATATCTGACATAGGAATATTGAGAATGACATTTTGACCTAAACAAAGAAAGTGAATTATTAAACAAAAACAGTGATTAAAAACGCAAGTAGTTAACTAGTGATTGGCCTTATGAGAACTGACCTGTTGGTAATGGTATTTTCATCTCCAAACCTTCAGTAGTAAGTACCACTCTATCTAATGGTTTAGCTTTATATGTACCTATTCGTAACGTTCTACATAGTATTAAAACGTATGGATAAGGCATAGACCCATCCATGGCTTGTTCAAGCATTCCACCACCTGAAAATCACACAGAACCGTTAACACAATGTCCTTTGGAAAGGTCATAACTAACATTCAAAACCGGACAGACATTACCTTCCACACCAGGAGAATGCTTTCTTGCATAACTGTCTGGTTCTTCCATGGCTGCAGGATCTGCCTCTGATTCAGGAGCTATACCATTGGTCGTCAGCTGAGCCTCAGTACTTGGTTTCTTCTCCTGTTTGTCTTCGTCGTCAGATGATAATGTGAGTATTTCTAATAAAGAGAACAAAAATAAAGATGAGGAAAACAAATATGATTATTTCCGATGATAATTTCAATTTCGAAGCAAGTTAATACGGAAGTAACACATACCAGGCTCTTCAGGGACCTTCACTCTTGGTTTCCTTGGTGTTGAACACCGCTTCCTTTTAACCTCAGCACTTCCTGAAGGTGAGACTATCGGCGTCAGAGACCGCACGATATTCTTCCCAGCCAATTTCTGCGACAAGGTAAACAAACAGGAACATAAGACAAGGCAAAACCAAGTCATTACAGTGCCCCAGGTCCCTAGCGCCTGGCCATTGAGGCCGCGGTGACGAGCAGCCTAGTGCGGAAGCGAGGCCCAGCAGTGGATCAGCAGCACGCGGTGGCTTATCGCAGCGCAGTGGGCCGGTCGAAGAGAGAACCATCGACCTCTAAGGCCGATCAGAAAACTCCCAAACCGGGCGCCGAGCTGCTCGGAGCGCCCCGCCAACTCCAGTCAGACACACACATAACCTCAACCGCCGACAAGCTACAGGCAACACAAGCGTTCTAGAATCCAGGGCGACTGCACATATTCATCGCAAGGGCTGCAGCGTGAACCTAATGAACCGAAAACACGGTGGGGCCAGAACAGCGGACTTACATCGTCTGTTTGCAGCCGAAACCTACGCGCAGCAGAAGAGGTTGTGCTGCTATAGAACCTTTTGACGCCTATTGGTTCCATCTTTAATAAGCAAAGCATAGGCCATAATGAGGTGACCCCAGAAAAAAAGCCCCACTATAATACGGCAAGCATGGCGTTCGTTTTAATCACAAAATATAGAAAGGTTACGATATAAATATTTTCTTTTCTTTCTCTCCCGAATTGTGCCGTGGGTTGGGTAGTCCCCCCGCAACCTCCGCAGTGTTGCCAACAGCCTACACTTGATCGCATACCAGCAAGCTAAAGTCTGCTGAAGCTCCCGAACTGAAGGGAAGGAAATTCAGTTTCAACTGAACAACTTCAAACTTGCAGAACGACAAATATGGAAAAAAGGGGAAATGGTATGGCAACGAAGATTCTTGGGCTAGAATGCTAGGAAAATGAAACACCGGGACCCCGTGACCCCATGACAGGTCTATTGAAAATTGAGATCAATGGGAAAGGCTGCAGCTTGGCATTAGTTGATTTTGTACAGAGACTCCACCTCTGGGTAAGAGTCTATTCCAGCCCGGCCAAGCACATTTTGAAAAAGCAGACCCCCACTAGAGAACAAGTAAAGATAAAGAGAAATCAATATTTATATAGGCAAAATTTAAGTTTGCTTGTACTTCAGTTTCAATGATTGTAATTTTGAGAAGTGACAAAATGGTGTGAATGGATTGGATTGACTTACCAAAGCAAATTCAATCTGTCCAATTAGCACAAAAGAAACAAGAGAACAGGGAACATAACAGATTTAATTACATAACGGAGAAAAAGAGAGGAAAAGTACACACACAAACAAACATGTGGCAATAGAGACAAAATATATTTGAAATGTGCCCATGTAGAAGCAACTGTGAAGAGGTAAAGAACTTACCTCACTTGGAAGCACTAACTGGCTTTTCAGTATCATGCCAGTAAAGTTCTGAGCAGAAATAGGTGACTGCACAGGTTTTGTAGTTATATTTTCAAGAACTCTTGTTTTAACATTGTCTGGCAAAGCACTTCCGCAACGTACACATTTCAAGAAATTTATAGATACAATCCCACAATGTGGACACACGGCTCCCAAGCCTGGTCTGACTTTCAAAGACTGAAAGGAATAATTATAGAAAACAATTAGGAGAAATGCCAATAAGTTAGTCATTGAAAAGTATCCAATTTAATCTAACTCGGCTAATCATACCTCAGGTAACTTGGTTGAATTAGGATAGGACATTGTCAATGTGTACTCGTTGTCTCCTCCTCCAATAGGTGTTGTTCTGAGAAAAAAAATGTGTTTTCAAGATATTTACAACTGGAAAAAAAGATTAAGAGCATAAAGAAGCACTCACTCAGGATGTTGCTGTGGCACAGTTGAGTCACAGGGGTCTTGTTTGGCCTCCACTCTAAAAAACAATGTCAAAATGAAAACAAGTCAAAGGGAAAACTAAAAAGAGAAAACTCTTAAAATCACCATTTAAAAAAAAATAAAAACCACTTACTCAGACTCAGTTTTCTCAGGCTCAAAGGTTACAGGAGCTGAATCATCAGCAAACATTAATTCACCAGATTCTGAAACCACACATTCCTGAAGAACACCAGTGGGGAACTGATCCTTTACTGTTACACTGCAAGAGAAACATACAGAATAGATCAAATCAAGAACCCTAGAATACCGTAGCAAAATTAAGGCAGTAACTACACAGGTAACCTACCCCTCAAAAACAGCAACCTGCTCGGTTTGAGAAGTTTGTTCTAGAGGGTCTTGTTCACTATTGAACTGCAACATTGAAAATACTGGATTTAAGACATTTTCTTAGATGGAAATCAATTACGTTTATATAATAATGCCCCTACCGTGTTTCCCACTTGCAAATGAATCCTCATAGTCCCATCTTCGAAACACTGCAAAATTCTGGGCGATTGACATTGTTGTACATGTGCACTATTAAACTGCAGAAAAGACAAAGCAAAATTAGCATTATTTATGTTTAGTTAAAAAAAAAACTTTCAAATTTGAGGACATAATAAAATAAAGCATGAGCGTAAGGGTAAATCACCTGTTCTCCAATAGTTGAAAGAAGTTTATCTTCCGGCTTGGCCCTAAAACAAAGTTGCAGTAAAATTTGTATTTATACAGCAAGAAACAAAGTAGAATTCAATAAAAGTACTGCAAAAGTAGTTAAAATTTAATAAATAGATGGAGACTTACATCTGGGTCTGTTGGGCAACTACTTGCTGTTGAGTAGCAATAACTACATTTTTAATCACATTTTTATTCTGCGCTTTAGGACCAGAATACATGTTATGCCCTCTTGGACTGTTCACTTGAGATTGGTCAACATTACCACTGCTCAAAAAAAAAAAAAAAAAAAAAAAACACATAGCATTACACACATACATTAAGAAGATTTTTGAAAAAATATTTTGTATGGAAATACAAAATATGTACCATACGTAAAATGTAAATAGAAGAGTTATCTTGTTCAACTATCTGTCTTACCTGTCGATGATCTGAATTCGAGGGACTTTCAGAACATTTGGTAAATTCGGTGGCAAGGCTCGATACCTCTGGGGACCCAGGCGTGATTGTAATTGGACTTGATGATGTCCTAATTTCTGCACCTGTTGCTTGGCTTGCAATTGGGCTTGATGCTGTGCTTGTTTCTGTACTTGTTGCTTGGCTCCCAATTGGACTTGTTGTTTCAGTGCCTGTTGCTGTGCTAGCAATTGGACTTGATGCACAGCTGGTGGCTGGTTTATTGATTGGGCTTGAGGCTGTGGTTGTTTCGGTACCTGTTGCTGGACTTGCACTTGAACTTGCTGCTGTGCTGCTTGCTGGGTTTGAGATTGGACTTGATGCTGTGGTTGTTTCTGTACCTGTTGCTGGGCCTGCAATTGGATTTGCTGTGCTGGTTGCTGAGTTTGCAATTGGACAAGAGGCTGTGCTGGTGGCTGGGTTTGCAATTGGACAAGAGCTTGTGCTGGTTGCTGGGCTTGCAATTGGACTTGTTGCTGTGCTTGTAACTGGCTTTTCAGTTGAACTTGCTGCGCAGCTTGTTGCTGCACTTGAATTTGAGCTTGAAGCTGCGCCTGTTGCTGCACTTGTAATTGAGCTTGAAGCTGTGCTTGTTGCTGGGCTTGGAATTGGGCTTGTTGCTGGGTTTGAAATTGGACTTGATGCTGGACTTGTAATTGAGCTTGCTGATGTGCCTGTTGCTGAGCTTGCAGTTGGGCTTCGTCCGGAACATGTATTTGAACTTGTTGACCCTGCACAAGCTGAGGTAGTTGCAATTGAACTTGGCCTTGCTGCTGTTGCGGAACGGCTTGCATTCGGAGTACATAAGGGAGCTGAGCTCCTGACTGCGATGCTGCAGGTAATTGAACGACTTGCTGCTGTTGTTGCAGAGCTTGTTGCTGTGATTTGACGCACTGCTGTTGAATGGGTGCTTGATTGACAATTCGAAATACTTGCTGCTGAGGAGAAGATTGCAACTGTAAGGAAGATTGCTGTTGCTTTTGAGAAATCTGTTTAGCCAAACTTGCAGTGTTCACGACCCGTACTTGTTGTTGACCTTGAGGCGTTTTCACCAATATATACACTGATGACTGCTGCGTTTGCTGTGGCAATATATTGCTCTGTTGTAGAACTGAATTGGGCTGATTACCAGGACTGCTGACAGATGGATTAGTTGAATGTTTCACTTGCATCTGTCTCTGTTGATTAGGACTGACTACTGGTCGAGATGCATTAATTACAATTGTGGATTGAGCTGCACTGAGCTGTCTGTTTTCACAAACGTTCCTCTTTGGGGTCAGCTGACTTTTGACAACACTTGAGATACTTTCAGCAGAAGAAGGAATTTCCGAGACAACATTGTTTGAGACCACAGTACTGCTAGATTCAGGTGTCCCATTTTGCTGTTTAAGTTGAATATCTGGAACAGGAGATTGCTTTTGTATTGACTGAACCAGCTGCGGAGTAGGTGTCCTAATAACTTGTTGCTGGTTGGGAACAACAGGACTTTGACATCTTTGAGGGGAATTCGTTGACTTTCGCAGCAGCCTTGGGCGTGGGCCTCGGGTTTGCGGTGATTGCAGAGGGGACTGCAGAGGAGATTGCTGAGGAGATTGAAGCCGTTGCTGAGTGAGGGCAATGATTGACTTGGACTGAGGAATTGAAGCACAACTTTGCACTATTTGAGTCCCTTGAGTTAATTTCAACTGTTGAGAGGTGATTTGAGTTGACTGCTGAACAGTTTGCTGCAACGATGATCTTTCAACTGATTGATTTGGATGCTGCTGAAGAGTAAGCACCTGCTGAGGCACCATTTGTTGATCAGGTTTTTTAGGCTGCGTCTGTGGTGATAGAACCTGCCGCTGATTAGCTTGCTTATTTTGAAGTGATAATTGATGTGCCGATGAGTAAGTTCTGACTCCAGCAGCCCTTTGAGGCCCTTGCAGGTTAACATTGGGGGATCGTTGCTGGGCTTCTTGTTGGACAGGTTGAGACTGCATGACTGAATGCAATGGTTGAGTCATGGCATTTACATTTGCATCATTTTCAACTGCAACAAAATATATGCACAAAAAATTTTAGTTTGTTCAATAGAGGGTATTGAAATAATAAGTAAAATTAAAATTATACAACTTCTCCTGTACATCACAAAACAGTAAGTCCCTCAATTCTTACCAGCTCCTGAAGCTTGAACAATGAATGATGATGGATCTATTACAATGACACTTCTGAAACAAAAGAAGAAAATTACATTAAAGTTGGAATCAATTCACCATAACAATTTTCTAATTTCTGTACATCACACAATTCATTTTGGAAGAAATCATAACAATAATCAAGTGCACCATAAAGCTAGCGCAAGCGGCATCGGTTAAAATTGCTTTAGCATGAAGCAAAATGTCAGCTAAAACAAATTAACTTACGGAGTTTGATACGCCATTTGCACAACATGTTGTGGAGGTAGCTGCTGTTGAGAGTAAGTGATCCCTGCAGCCACCTCCTCTGAAGCAACTAACATCATTTGTTGAACATCATTCATTGTATTTTGGACATATTGAGCCATTATGATAATGTAATGTTGTCAAGCTTGGAAGTGCAAGCGCAACATGATATACAAGCTTGGGCAGAACAGCCCTTTGCCGTTTCTAACCACAAGCACCCATAGCAAACATAATAGACTCAAGGATCTGTAAGTTTATAACAATATATGGATGGTAAAAAAATTGCAATTCCACCAAGCAAAAGAACTATGCAGGAAACTTCTAATTGCCAATATAGGTTTGAAAATAGAAATACACATCCTATTATAAATTAGGACTGAAAGTTGAAAGCTGTGTTAGTGCTAGACTGCTAGTAAGTCGACAGGCAATGGATTAGTTGTATGAGAAAACTTTTCAGTTCATTAAGATAAACAAAAATGTTGGTAAATTGTGTCTTCCTGACAACAGGTTTGGACCCTACATTCCTGATTTACCAACGCTAATAACAATCCAACGGGGATAAGAGGTATGGGATGATAATGCAGCCTTAGTTTGACATAAATTCCACGAGCAGAACAGAAATTACGATAAAAACAAAACCATTCTACCGCCACAAAGTTGAGGTTAGAGCGGTCAATTAAGGTAAGGCATACCACTCAACTGAGTACGCCTGAAGAAAGCAACGTCATTTTTCCTCATTTTAAAATTGAAAATTTATCCAGATTATATCAAGTCCGATTGTTTCGTATCAAATATGAAATCAAAATACCATTTAGAAAAATAAAGATGTACTGCACTGTGTCTCTTGTGAACTAATAAACGCGCAGTTGATTGAACGCGTAGAAACTAAACCCATATGATGCACAATACTCAAGGGCATAACTTACAGGCAGTTTCAATTAAATATTCTGAACTAGACTATCTTCGAATAACCAACAATAAAATTCAACAAAGACGAAGACCATCAGCCATTTTGTCTCCACTTTCACACGCTCGCTCGTTGCCAGTGGCTGATGGCAAAGAACTTCGCCAAGTTGCTTACCCGAAAGGGGGTTTTATCGGAAGAACTAGAACCAAATATTCGTTACAGGGTACAATTTGCCATCACACGTCACTCCTTTAGTTCATATTTTCTCCTCATGATGCAGTAGAATAAAATAATGAAATTTTGCTATTTTTGTTTACGAGAAGCGAATCGTATATCTTGCTTATACTCTTTGGAGCGGACACAAGATGAAAGCAAATACCGAAGATGCACCTACTCGGTCCAAGCAAGAGCTGGTCCAAATTTTCAATTTTCTTGTATGTGACACAGAGTGCAAGTATGAAAACCCGTAGCTCAGATGTCATCTTAATTTTCCTCATCCCTTGACAACTTTTTACAGTTGACGTGATGAAACTGTGGTTCAATCTTCTTGAGGAGGTGTGGGAAGGTGAATGGTTTGTCTGCGATGTTGCGAAGAGTGGACCTCACTGTAAACTGCCGACCAATGAACGGCTGTCTTGGAGCTAATGGTAAAAGCGCGAACTACGAATGCAGTCGCGAAACTGTTCATGGATGACGCACCAACCTAGAACCGCGCTAAACAGTAGAAACCCGGAAAATCGGAAACCCAACAGGCTTTGACGCGTTGCAGATTTCAATTTATTATGTCAGAGATACGTACGATTTCTGCTCTGTGGTAAGACTTTGTTTTAGGTGTTGAAATCTCCGACGGGACGGTTGATGGTTGGTGAGTGTCGTTCGTATTTCTCTTAACCTCAGCTTTTCTCAACGCGACATTGAATAATTGACATTTTTTTCCTCCTGTTGTTCCTTACCTACGATGGTACGACTCTACGATAGTCATGTCCATTCCTCTTAATTTTTAGTATCGTTACGTTGTCACACTGAGGCACCGCCTTGTGGATCTTTTCGACCATTCGCCGTGTTTTGTTTTTGGTTTGTTGACAAAGCAGAAGAAAGTGGCTTGTTCTGCCCTGCCACACGTGGTGCTCAATCGCCTAGTTTTTGCCACTTTGAAGCGTTCTGTGTTCCTACGAGCTTTTCAAAGTCAACAAGGTACGTGGTTTTCCGATATTTGATGTTCTTACATGCCCGAGGGGGACGGTGGGAATGTCACTAGGATTTTGGTTGCTTTGAGGGTTAAACAGATTTGGATGATGATCTTTATAATACTTTTTTGTTAGTTTCTCTTCGTAAATATTTTCGTATTTACTGTAAATGCTTAATTTTTGTTTATGTTCATTGCAGAATATATCAATATGGATGAATTCATACCTCTCGGTGCAAGAGCGGTAGTACCCAAGAGGATGAAGAATAGCAACAAAATAAACCATGAGAAAAGGGGAAAGGGAAAGAAAATTCTGAAGGGAAAGAAAATGGTTCAGAGAGAGAAGGCCAAGATGGTCAAGCAAGTTAAGGATTTGGAAGCCACAGATCAAAAGCCCTCTTTCAGAATCAAACTAATTTTTCAACAACGATGTCCAGCAATTGCAGAAATTTGCAAGCTTCATCCTCTTATCCGAAAGGTGTCCATTCCTAAGAGGCCCCCAAGTATTAGGTAAGTTGACACCCAACTATTTTTTAACTTTTTTGGTGTAAGTGAAGCTACAATACACACTCGCATTGTCATGCCTGTTTCTTGCAGACACTGTTATCTGAAATTTAAGTCAGCAGAGGAACTTGAAGAAGTGCGTTTGTTTTTGGACAAGAAACATTTTGAACCTTTCCATGGCATATTGAGGTGTCATAAACCTCTACCTGATACTTTAAATGAAATAAAAAGTTCCAATCCTGAATTGTTGGATCAAGAATATTTGACTCCAGTTGACATCAAACATGCCAAATTTGTTCAGTGAGTATACATACGTTTTATTGTATTCTCTCAAGTACAATTTGTTATTGACTTTGCTTTTCTTTTTCTTTCAGCAACAAAAAGTTAGGAGCTACTATAGACGTTAAATGCAACTCAACAGCAAGAGAATTGTTCCTTCGATACGGTGTTCCTTTATTTGTAAAAAAAGAAAATCAGAATGGTGGGGATGCACCTCCCTTTACAATGGATGAAGACCAGAATGGTAGGTGTTCACCCTCCATTTCATCAAGTGAAGAAGAAGATGATATGAATGCACCTGAAGTGTACTAACTCTTAAGCCTCATTAAATACTCTAGTTCTTTTTTCTTTAATTTTTACAAATATTTCCTCTCATTATTTTTAAATACCAAAGTTGGTATTGAATCAGTTGTTTCTGTCATGTGAAGACCAAGGGGATAGGTGTTGAAAGATAAACATCAATCTGAAGGAATCATTTTATTTCATTCTGAGATCATTTTCACATATTTACAAAGGCTGTATTTAAATGTTGTGTATTGGTGGTTCAGTCATAGATGTAGTCTTAACAGCTCTCTCTACAATGAGTAGTCTGTGAGGCAACTGGTGAAAATATTTACATAAAAAGTCCAATGCTGCCCATGCAGACACAGAAAATTTTACACATACCCACAGCACACACACCATATTATTGAATATTGACAATTTGTTGGCATTAGATAAATTTTAGCAGTACCTTGTGCCTTACTTTTAAAAAATAACTTAACATGAGAAATGAAACCGTCTGAGATCATAAAAGCTGAATTACTTTATTGTACAAGGCTTTTAATAATATGTACAGGGTGCATTATTTAAAATTGAAACAAAAAGAAAAATTCTATAACTTTAAATACAGTATTAAGATGCTTCACACAGTAATGTAAAATTATGCTTGAATAAGGAAAGAAACATGACTTTGTACCTTTCACATGATTGCAGTGAAATTATGTGCAATCATGCCCTCACCTCAAAAAGTGGAGGAAAAAAAGGACATATGGCTCATTATTTACATATGACAGACAAACTTAAGTAAACAAACAGAAATGGAAAATCTTAAAATAATTTACAGATAAATAACAGAGTATAAATTAACATGTTCTAATTTACATTACACAATCAATTTACAATGACCATGGTGGATTCATAGCAATAATGTAGGACCAGATCATGAGATTGTTTACAAGGAACTATTAATGGGTTTCCAATTAAGTGAACCTCCACTCACATTTTGCCATGATTTTACCATGCATAATTACATCTGTTATAAAGTAAAGCCCTCCTAATTGTTAATTCCTACCACCTCATGACCAGAGCACTACGTTCTGACTAGAATATTTTCCTCACCACGGTCTGTTTAAACAAATGACTAGAATCACTCCATGGAGTTCACATTGCTAGAAGATATGACGTCTACACAGCAAGTGTATGCTCCTGAAAGACTTCGGTATGCTAAATACTTCTACACAAGTTATAAATAATGTCACAGTATGTAAACCACCTTATATTTCTGTGAAATGTGTTCAGTATCCAATTATTAATTTATTGCATTTTTTTATTTTTAAAGGAGATATGATGAGCAACATTGTCTTAATAAGTGGGAGCAATACTAAACTGACAAAAGAAAAATTTTACCTTGAATGTAGCTGGATACTAAGCACAGCAACAGAATAATGAGGTTGTTTCCTAATTCTAAATCACATTTATTTCAAGCCACACTTTGCACATCCAAACCCACATGACTGCTAGGGATTTGGGGATGCAAACATGACCTTTTCTACCACACTAAAAATGCTGATCTAAATTTTCGAATGAATGAGATAAATAGTGAGTGAAAGATACAGTCTCTCTTAAGAGAGACCTCAGTTTACAAAAGAAAAGAGAAAAATATAGGATGCAAAAAGGAAGCAGTGCTTTTGCTCAGTGTGAAATCCACCATAGGGATATCCACCAGCTTTAAATCTGCACTGTTCTCGTTGACCCATAGTTCCGTGCTCTGCTTAAAACGCCATCAATTTACAGTGTCTCACGTTGCTAAGCTGTTTCAGGGTTTTTTTTAGCAAATACACCTAAAATAATTTGACTTGACTAGCAAAAGTGCCTTATGTTGACTAGAACAAGAAGCGTGAAAGTTCTCCAACTACCTAAACTCAAATTCACTGTACAGTTATTATACGGTCATCATCACAAAATATTCAAAAGAACAAAGTGACTTTATTTGACTGGATTGACCATCCACTGGCAAAGATTTTATTGTGACTAGAACAATCAAACTTAAAATTATTTGTTGTTTGCCAAAAGTTCCCACAAAAAGAGACTAAAGATATGAGAGATAAATAAACTTGATTTCTAATTGAAACCAATGACCAGATAGCTGACTAGATTGCTACTCATCACTTTGACTAGATGTTTCCCGCAACTCCCACATTGTTGACTAGAAAGTCACTGAAATGTATGACTAGAAATACCACGGCAAAGCAGTCAGCTCCGATTGACTGAACAACGAAAGATTCACTGTACAGTTATTATACGGTCATCATCACAAAATATTCAAAAGAACAAAGTGACTTTATTTGAAGCTCTGTTGACAAGACTTAGTCACCTACTACAGAACTACCACAATTTATGATAAACTCTGTTGACTAGACATTACCTTAACTCTAACATAAATTATGACTTCTTGTGACTAGATAGTTACTGAATGTTGACTAGATTGCATTTCCCTCAACTAGAATAAACTCTCTGATGACTAGAATAGAAATATTTTGACACTCCACCCCATCTCACTCCACCACCACCACATGGCTGAACTAGAATTACCAATATATTGAATGACTAGACTTTGTTTACTTTAGATGACTAGAATAAAAATTTGATTTGATGAAAAAATCAATGACTAGAATTATAACATTGGAATGCGCTCCCGAAAATGTGTATGACTAGAAATGACTAGCTTCAACTTTTTAAGCTGGTCCTTCCCCCATTCACCCCCCCCCCCCCCGGCCCCTTTCCGATCTTTGGGAATATGAACTGACTAGAATGAATGCTTTGGTCTATAAAAGAGACTTGAAGACTAGAATGCTATCATAATTTTACCAAGCTAAAGCTGACTACAAATGACTAGAGGAACTAAATGAAACTAAATGCACATGACTAGATGATTTTTCTTGAATCCCAGAAAGAGAGTTTGAGGGCCAAGCAAATTACATTGAAATAATGCTCGTGCAATTATCCAGAATCAGGGCATGTGCACTGTTTAAATGAAATTCACCCGGCCCAAAGAACGCTCATATCCGAGTATGCGCGAGGATCCGACGCCCAGCCAGAATAAGGAGAACGAAACGACGTCGATTCGACGAAGAATCGATGCAAAATCCGTCGATGTCGTTTCGAACACCCGATTCTGGCTGGAGCGCAGGGCTGCGGCAGACTCTCAAGAAATGACTAGAAAACGAACACTCAAGAACTTAATTTTAAGACTAGAGGGGTCCGAAAAACGGCAGAACAACTTGAGACGCTGCGAGTGAGAGACGTCGCAGAGCACAGGTCATAAAATAATCTTTGGACGTAGCTGCAGGGTCCCGCGCCGAGGCGGGAATCCGTAAGGAAAACTAAAGGTGACTAGACAGTACAGGGAATTCCACTTAACGCTAGTGACTAATGACTCACAGGTAAATACAGTGCGGTTACCAGCAGCAGTCTCCGGGACTGTCTTTGGCCGCTCTCACTGGGCTGGTGCACCGGCCAGTCTTATCACACAAGGCTTGCAGGGGACGCACCACAAGTCTGGCAGTCTGGACGCCGACTTGAGCACTCACCGAATTGTCTCTTGGGTCCAACAGGTTGGCGATGTTGGGGATGCGGGGGCGCGGGGCGCGGCCTGTTGCTTACAGCTGCATGTGGAACCTCCACAGGGGCGGCGCCGTGGCGGTGGCGGCGGGCGGCGGCAGCGGCGGCCAGAACGGCTCCCCGGCCGGCCCCAGAAGAGGCCGGTGGTGGTGGAAGGGCAGCGGGATGGCCCCCGGGCTGGTCAACGGGCTCGTCAAGGGACTCGATGAGGACACCGTGGAGGAGGGCGTGGCTGGGACGCCAGGCCCTCCCAGCGGATGTCAGTTGGCGGCCGTCAGCTGCAGGGGCATGTCCATGGACATGTTCATGCCCATAATGTTGTTTTCCAGGGTGCTGAAGCCGGGTACCGAGCTGGAGTGGGTGGCCAGGTGCTTACGGAGGTACGCCTGCCGCCGAAACCGCTTGTTGCAAACCGGGCACGGGATCTGCGGGAGGCTGGCGTCGGCCTCCTTGGCGTCGGGCTGCTCCTGCTCGTCCAGCTTGCTGGCCTGCTTCGAGTCGGCCAAGGAGGGCGCCGCGGTCTGCTTGGGCTTGTGCCAGCGCCGGTGCGACGCCAGGTTGGCGGGGCAGTTGAACACCTTGTCGCACTCGGGGCAGCGGTACTCCACGTGGACGATGCAGGAACAGCGGTGCTGCGCCAGGGCGAAGGCGTCGTCGTAGAGCTCGCGGCACAGCCGGCACACGTAGTCGCCGATCTTGTTCTCGATGGCGGCGATCTCCGCCTTGGCCTCCTCGGTCACCTCCACCACGTTGAAGGCCGGGTCGATGTCGCCCTTCCGCACCACCAGCTCGCTGTCCAGGACCTCGCCGATGTCCCGGATGATGGTGCCCGAGACGGGCGAGCTCTTGTCCTCGTCGAAGTTGAGCTTGCGGACGGCCTTCATCTTCTTGGCGGGCGCGACGGTGGCGGTGGGCTTGGCGGCGGAGGGCGGCCGCTTGGAGGGCGGCAGGCCGGCGACAGACACGTTGTGCACGTTGTGCACGTTGTGGTTCACGGCGCTGTCGTCGTTGTTGTTGCTCGGCTCCAGCTTGACGGGGGTCACGGACTCGTGCAGGCGCTTCCGACTGGACGGCGACGCCGGCGACGGCGTCGATGGTGGCGTGATAGGCGTCGCCGGCGTCGTCGTCTTGACGGACAGGTCCAGCGGGGGTGGCGTCGCGGTGGTCATCAGCGACAGCGGCTCGTAGCGCATCCCCGAGCCCAGCCCCGGCGCCAGCGCCGGCCCCAGGGGCATCATCGTGGGGGGCAGGCCGGACGGCAGGGGCAGTCCTGGCGGCGGCAGTTGCGGCAGGTACGGGTACAGGCTGTAGCGGTAGTGCAGGGCGAGGTCTTCCAGGGTGGTCATGGTGGAGAGTGGCGGCGTGGTGGGTCCTTCGTAGTCTTCGTCCAGGCGGTGGTGGAACAGTCCGTGGCCGAGGCTGCCGAGGCCACCTAGGGGCCCCACGGCGAGAGGGCCCATGGCAGGCAGCCCCGCGTGGTGCCCCAGGGGCAGCAACCCTCCTCGAGACATCATGTAGACGACTGGTCCTGCATCGCCGCGAGGGGCGCGGCGCGGCGCGGCGTCGGCGGTGTCGGGGCGGCGGTGGTGGCGCGGCACTCCCCCCGGCGCGGACTGGAGTGACGCGACGCGGAGCGCGGTGCGGAGCGCTGCCGCCGTGCGCCACGCGTGCGGCCTAGCGGCCAGCCTCAGTGTGAAGCGCGTCCTGGCGCGCCGCGTGCTTTTATTGCCTCGGGTCCGCGGGGTGCGCGGGGAGGTGCGGCGCGGGGAGCGGCCGCGGAGGGGAGGAGCCAGGGTGGCGCGCCATTGGCTGCCTCCGGCCCGCCAGCGAGGGAGAGCTCCCCATTGGGCAGCGGCAGTTGGGAGGGGCGGTCCTCGCACCCCCACTCCGTGGTTACTCAGCGGGCCCGGCGTCGGTGGCCAGGGGAAGGCCTGGCGCGGCAGGACATCGCGACGCCTGGCGACGCCGAGACCGACGCCGTGGTCAACGCCGTGATAGGCACCGTGGTCGCTGATGTGGTCGACGCCCTGCTCGCTCGGCCTAGACGCGAGGCGAGGGCGTCGTTCAGCTCGAAACTCCAAGGCGCCATGCCTCTGCCTCCAGCCCAGAGCGACGCGTCTCTCAGATTCCTCGTAGAGGGTGAAACTACCCCTTTCTGCCCAATTAGCGTGAGGTCTCGCGCGGCCACCGCGTGCAGTGTGCAGGCCGCATTCTCGGGGCTGCCGCTTCGCGCACCAAAACAGGCTTGGCCTGGAATGATCGAACGCTGGTTGAGGCCAGGCAATGCCAAGGGCCTGAAGGGTTGGCGGCGGAGGCGGCAACGGCCGTGCAGCCCCTGCACCGCCACCCCCCGCATCGCGGCACGCCGGCACATGAAGCTGTTGCTTGGATTTGCCGTTACCACTCTGTGCACAGCCACGCCGCGGCCCGTTGCATCTGCCGTCGCGGGTGTAGAGTGCTGTAGCGCCGCGGGTCGGGGAGGGGGTGCGGGCGTGGCGTGGCGTGGCGTGGCATAACCGTCGCACAACGATTAAACCACGGTCGTGCTGGTGGTGGAAGTAATGCCGCGACACCGACGCCGCGCCGTGGCGTGGCGTGGCGTGGCGGCGTCCACGTCCAACGGCCGGCTGGGCGGCCTGGGCGGCCTGCCCGCGGCGTGCGCGCGCCACTCGGGGTGCACGCAGTGCATTGGGGTGTTCCGGGAACACGCGACGCGCTGCACCGCGCTGCACCAAACCGAACCGAGATTGCTGCAAAGTGAAACGGCGAGACGCCAAGTGGCGCGGGGCGGGCGACGATGCCGACGATGCGGGCACACTGTCTGCCGGCCTGCCGCGGCCTGGCGGTGGGTACACTGTATCGCGTCTATATCGTCGCCCGATGCTCACTCGGCTGCTATTGCGACGCGTGTTTGCAGAGCGAGCCCCTCCACGAGCCCCCAGCACTGGTCCGCCGCGGCCCGACCGGCCTGTAATTTGATCGCATCAGATCGCGCCCTGCCCTGCAGACTGATTCCGAGAGTCGATTTCATCGCCGTCTCTCTCCTTGGGCGTCCCGTATCGGTGTGAGAGAGACAGAGCGACGAAAACGACTCTCGGAATCAGTCTGCTGTAACGGGGCGTATGTTTGTCGCTCGTGTTTGTTGTTACCTGGCCCCGGGCTCCCCGCCCGCACGCCCTGGTCAAGGGTCGCCCTCCGGCAGTGCCCCGGCAGTGCCACGGCAGTGCCCTTCCCTTCCACTCCCGCCACTGGACTGGACAAGGCCCTCGGCGTCAACACGTGGCCGGACCCAGCAGCTCACTCCGGCCGTGCTGTCCCTCTCGCACTCATGGGGCGTCGCGCAGCGCCGCGAGATAGAAACAGCACTGCCCGGCATCAGCCTGCTAAAAGGCCCGCGAGCCGTCAACGGACTGATTCCGGAAGTCGTTTTGTCGCTCTGTCCCTCTCGCACTCATGGGGCGCCCTCTGTGGGTGCGAGGGAGACGGAGCGACGAAAACGACTCTCGGAATCACTCTGCAGACGACGCGACGCGACTGCGGCGGCCTTGACCCTAATAAGCCTCTTCCCGGCGAAGACGCCGTCGCCCTCCTTATGAATGAAGCGGAAGGGAAGGACGTCTTGATAGTGGCACTTGTCCACTCACCTGCGCCGCCCCGCCCCCATTGATGGCCTTCTTATTCATCCGACCTGGCTCCTTAGGCGGGGCCGGGGCCGCCGACTCGGAGGGGGAGGGTGCCACCGTGCCGCCGTGCCGCCACTGCGGCGGTCCCTCCCTTCCTCAAGGAGTCCGCCACCGAGGCACGCGCGTGGCGGCGCACCTGCGTCTTGCTCTCGTTCCCCTCCGTCCAACCAGCTGACTGCGTGACTGCGTGACGTCAAGACGCTGTGACGTCATCGGGCGTCTCGCCAGGTGAGACCTCGGAGTTCGTCGCTCTGTCTCTCTCGCACCCCTCCGGGACGATGAGTGCGAGAGAGACACAGCGGTGAATCACAGTTCGGCATCTCAGTCTGCAGCAGACTGATTCCGAGAGTCGTTTTCGTGGCTGTCTCTCTCGCACTTATGTGGCGTTCCGTGTGCGAGAGAGACAGAGGGACAAAAACGAATCTCGGAATCAGTCTGGTCTCAGGAGACTGGAGTGGTGTCCGTGCAGATGCACGGTGTCGTGCTTGTCGGAGACACCGCCAGCCGATGGCTTTTGGCGTGGCATCGTCATCGTGCCCCTCGCGCCCCCTCGCGCTCTGGGGAGCTTGACGCGCGGCGCAGGCAGAAGTCTGGTCGCTCTGTCTCTCTCGCGTCCCTGAGGGACGCCATTCGGGCCACCCCGTGAGTGCGAGAGAGACAGAGCGACGAAAGCACCGTGTTGTTCGGGATCAGCGTCCAGGGAGGCGCGCCGCGGGTACCACCCGCCAGAGCCACTTACACTGCAGACTGATTCCGAGAGTCGTCTTCGTCACCCTGTCTCTCTCGCGTCCGCAGGGAATGCCCCATGAGAGCGAGAGAAACAGAGCGACGCAAAAACGACTCTCGGAATCAGTCTGCAGTCCGTCTCGACCTGGTCCGCGCTCCGCGGCGTGCCGTGCTTGGCTTGGCTTGGCTTGGCGTAGGAGGGCGAGGCTCTCGCGCCATACCTCGCGCTTTTCCGCACCGATGCCGCCGCGAGTGGAGGCACCCGGCACAGCGGAGGTGCACTGTAGACTATCAGTGCGTGCGTGCGCGCGCGCGTGTGTGTGTATGTGAGTGTGTCAGTGTGTGTGTTTGTGAGTGTGTGTGCGTGTGCGGTGCGCGGGGGTTGCAGGCATGTGTGCGCCGCGTAAAAGGGGGAACGACGGGGGACGCGGCGGGGAAGGTGAAGGGAGGGGGAAACAACGCCGAGGGGAGGCGACCCTCTGGCGCGCTCCCCCTCGCCGGCCTCGCCGCGCGCGGACCGCGGTCCACCTGGCCGTGCGTTCCTCCCCCCCCCCTCCTCCCCGGCACGGCGGCACGCGCGTTTTTAGTAGGCGGCGTGGCTCGGCGTGGCGCGGCGTGGCGTGGCGCGGCGTTCGTGATGTGATACCAGCGCAGGGCCGCGCCGGCCGGGCCGCGCCCTGTGCCGCGCTCCGCCTGGGCGCGCGCCGAAGCCTGAAGCCAGCGCCAAGAAACCGGAACATAATCACACAAGCATTGTCCGCGGCCCGTGCCGAGCCGCGCCGCGCCAAGCCGCAGCGTGCACGTCGAAAAAAGGAGAGAAAAAAGTCGGATGGAGAAGCAAGATTGTCGGGGTGCAGGGAAATGAGCACTGCGGAGTGTGGACGCTGGTAAAGACACTCACGCGTCGTGTCACGGCCGGGTGGCGCGTTGGCAGTGTGGTGACCGCTGGAAGTGGTCTCGTGCCACCGACGCTGCAATCCGGCGCTCTGTGCTTCCGGCGGAGCACGGGACTCGAATCGAGCGTCTGGCCCCACCAATGGATTGCTCTCCGAACGAGGAATCCATTGGTGGGGTCTCATGGTCAGTTACTCTGGAGCTCAAATCACGTCCGGAATTTTGACCGCCTCCACCAACACCGGCCTTCTGGCCCTACGGAGTCGGCCTTGTAGGTTGCTTCCACTCCCAGTGTTCCTTTGGACCTGTCTGGTATTGGCTTTCCGAGTCGATCTACCGTCTGCAAGGCGTCAAGCAGGATTATCCACCAAGGTGCGCGCTGACGCTTGGCAACAACCAGTTCCAGCTCCAGGCTGGAGCCTCCAGCGCGCTGGGGCGGCAACCGGAGGGGAAGGGTGCATCTAGCCGCGCTGGCAGCACGCTGGAGAAGACTGATGCACTCGGAGCCTGGCCCTGGTCTAGCCAGGTCTAGTCATTGTAGCACGCTAACCCGGCCCCTCCCTTGCCAGGCGTCTCTCTCTTTCCTTCTCGCTGTTCGTCTCTCTCGCTCGCGCGCACACGTGCCCGGTCTCCCCGCCGCGCCGAAGGTAATCAGGCAGGGGAGGGAAGCGCGGCCTGCCAGCTCGGCCAGGGCGGCACGCCGCGACGCGACGCCGAGCACAAGAACTGGAACGTCAAGCTTCTTTATGATGTTTGGCGACCCCGCCTGGAACGTGCCGCGTGCAGCTCCACTCCGCGTGCTCCGCGACGGCGGCACGAGCCGGGCGCGGACGGCGCGGACCCAGGGACGCCGACGGGGACGGGGACGCCGCCAGGGAGGCCAGGGTGCATTTTGCAGCTCGGCCCACTCGGCCCGCCCCCCTTTGTTCGTTGACCTTTGCAGCCGCGCCTTGCCATATGGCTGCAAAGGAATGGGGCGTGCGGGCAGCGGGCTCACTCGGAACAGTGCTCTGTCTCTCTCGCTCCCCCACGGAGCGCCCCGCGAGTGAGAGAGAGACAGAGAGTCTGCGATTGTGCGTGACACTCCGAGACACTCCCTCGGCGAGAAAGGGATGCGATAATGCCGGGGTAGGACGCGGCGACTCGCTGGAGAAAGTCGCCCGCAGCAGCAGCAGCACTCGTCTCGTCAGCGCCGACAGGCCGACAGCGCC